CAATAAAATGACATTTATTTGACATTTACAAATGACAAATCATAAATGACATTTACATTGTCATAAATATATGTTTTAGCATAACAGCTAAACACGACATGCAGGGTTTTAGTCATGTCACATTATGGGTGTATTTGTTGAATTGTGTTGTAATTTTTACACCTGGTTAATACACACTCTTGGAAAATTGATAATTTATGTTGTATAATACATCCTAAAAGTGTAAAATATTTGTTACTGTTAGATAAAATCTTTTCTTAGTTGTTGAAGTGATGTGGAACAGAAAAGGTGCAGAATAAATACAGAGAAAACAGGAAAGTTAAGAAAATCACAGTAAACACATTACAAAGTATTTTAAACCCTAAATATCAGTGTCTAACCCCTAATTTACACTACATGTGTTCCGTCTCCACTCCGCTGCGGTCCGACCTCCACAGCTAACACACACCCATTATAATCAATGACAGTGTTTACACTGGCGGTGCAGGGCGGCGGTGAGCGGACGGTAATCCGTCAATATTAGAACAGATCCTATTTTTGCCGGACGACGGAGCAGCGCCGGAGTCAATTTTTAAAGGTTACGTCGCACCAACAGGAAAAGAAACGAGCACAACATCCGTATTTTCAAAATAAGACACTATTCGGCAGAATAATTTGTCAGAACAATGTCGAAATTGCGGGTRTATTAATAAATATACGGATATATTTCTATACAAATGCTGTCAGAATGTATCGTTCTGTTTGGGAAGCAGATGGAAACATGTAGCATGAAGCATATGTGCACACACACACGATACACATGGATTTTATTTTGAAATCAGAAGTTTCAGAAAGCCGACAGCGAGACAGTTTCAACATAGATACCAAAAGCCTTTATATCGTTTTCAGCTGTGTTTGGAGTTCATCTTTCACAGAATTAATTATTTTTTGCTCTGACTTCCACACATCAGTGAATTTATCGCGCTATCTCTTTCCTGCACGTCTGTCAGAGCGGAGCGGGGCGGAGGTAGTGTAAACTGGATTTGAAAAGCACGGCTGCGACCTGCGCTGCGCAGCGGAGACGGAACACATGTAGTGTAAATTAGGGGTAACTCTTCTGTGTCAACAGGGAGGCGCTGCAGGAAATGCTGTGGGCTTCAAGTTGTCGTCCCTCCTGTCCCTCGCAGACACCAAGTCCAACAAACCGGGCATGAACCTGCTGCACTTTGTCGCTCTGGTCAGTGAGTTGAAGTCGTGTTAAGATATTCRTAGCACCAGCTCTGAAGCTCAAAGCCTTCACGTTTCTCCTTCAGGAAGCTCAGAAAAAAGACGAGAAGCTGCTGGAGTTTCCTCTCAAAYTGAGCGACGTCCAGGCTGCATCCAGGTGAGACGCCCCTGCAGCTTGAACCCAGCTGTGTCACGTCTATTCTCTCCTTGATGCACTTTAAAAATTAAATATTTTTTGCAGGATTCCTTTTGAAGCCCTGGATGCTGAGCTCCAGGTGTTGACGACTCGCACGCGCTCAGTGGAGGAGAGCATCCAGAAAGACACGGAGCTGCTGCAGCAGATGGACGTCTTCCTGCAGGTACCATCGTTACAAATCCTCTCCATAAAAACACGTCTAAACATCCTAATACCACGTGTTAAATAGAGATTGAGTTTCTGGAGTAAAGCAGGTCTGTCCTGTCTGGACGAACGTTGTGGACAGTTTGTCCACTTATCCAGAATGTCCCTCTCTCTTCCAGAGCGCCACGTCGTCTTTGTGCTCGCTACGCGACAGCCAGCAGCAGCTGAAGAAGGAAGGCGACAAGCTGATCGACTTCTTTTGCGAGGACAGAGGGACGTYCAGGCTGGACGACTGCTTCTGCATCTTCCACACCTTCTGCCTCAGATTCACCTGCGCCGTCAAGGTGTCCCAACAAACCTTTGACCCTTTAATTACAACGTTTGTACGAGTGAGGACGTGTCTCCAGCAGAGCTGTGACAGTTTGGTKGTAAAATCGTTTTCTTGTTTCAAAGGAAAACAAGGAAAGGGAGGCGAAGGAGGCTGCTCGTCAGCAAACACAGGAGACAGAACTGAAGAGACGGTCCTGGTCTGGAGGAGAGCAGGTATGTGGACTCAGAATCCCTCTCTGAAAAACAAAGATACTCTAAGTTCTGGACCTTTAATGGACTTCCTGTGTCTGGTAGGTCCGTGGAGCCGTCGGGCTGCGCTGCAGCAGTGAGACAGACATGTCCACCGTCGTGTCGAAAGATGACACTGGACTTCTAGAGTTCATTACCCCAAAGTCCCAGCTCCGCACGACCCCAAAGGGCAACCATGTTACTCGTGGGCGCTTGTTGAACTCCCATCGAACCAGGAACCCTCCATCAAGCTCGCCTCTGTTCGCCGCTGACCGTGAACTGAGCACCTTCTTCAAACTCTCCGAGGACCACAGAGTCCCTCGGCCAAGAGGAAAGACACATCTCTCATCAGCCTCGCCTAAATCTGAGCTTAAAGGTTCAGTATCATCTCCAAAAACGACAGACCCACCAACCACCTCTGTACCTTCCAAGACCTCCTCGGACTCCACTGTCATTAGCAAAGATGGCGTCCACGATCAAGTAGAGACAGTTAAACCTTCCTCTTACTCTAATCAGCAGACAGACCACAACAACAATGAAAACAATCAACTGGAGAACCTTTCACACCATCAGACTCTCCCTGATGATAACAAAGACAATGTTTCTGGGGTTTTAGAGAAAAGTACACTGGTTCCTGAGCTCCAAACGTTTGATGAAGACATCCATTATCATCAGCAAGATGAAGCAATAATGAAAACTTTGAACCAAGAGGTGGTGGATGACTCACAAATACTAAATCTGAACGATAACTCCAAGAAAGGTGAGACATCTGATGTGGAAATAATCGTGACGACGTCTCCCTCACCACAACAGGACGGCGAGGAAGACAAGGTGATTGTGTGGTGTGTGACAGGTGTGTGTGAGTCAGCAGGTGAAAGTACACAAACTGAAAAGGATCGGAATGGGGCTGAAAATCAAACGTCCTCTCCTCCACACCATCATATGTCTTCAGAACTTCATCTGGACAGTGAAAAGTCCGGGTCCATACCCATCAGCTGTCAACCAGTGTCCCGTTGTAACGACTCGTCACTCCTCGTGTCTTCACCTGGACCGCATCCCACAGAGCCTGCACCAGCCAGTCCCGGTCCTGGTCTGACTGTAGACGCTTCAGAGGAAGATAATGTAACATCCAATCAAGTGACAACACCAAAGAAAAGTGGAAATGCAYCTGTCCCGAGCAGAAACAAGACATCTTGTAGGCATACAACAGAAAAGACGTCTTCCACAGATGGAAAAGCAAAACTAGCTACTTCATCCAAACAATCTACCAAGAACTTGAACAATGCTAAAGCTCAAAATACTTCAGTGAAACCATCAAACACAACCCTGACACGTATCAGATCTGTCTGCAGCACGACCAGCTCCCAGAACCAGAACATGAGGCGAGTTGTACCCATCACCAAGACCAACCGAGGCGCCAAACATCCAGAAAACCCTTCTGCTCACAACCAGAGCTGCTTCAGAACAGGGCTCAGCACTCTGCCCAGCACTCCCATCCGACACTCCCACCCTTCAACTGCCCCTCAACCATCCAAGATGCCAGACTCCAAAGAACTGAGGGACCAGAAGGTTCCGGGCACAGCTACCCGAACTCAGAGCACAGATGTGCAAAGGAGGCCTTCGATCCGTAAAGCCTTAACGAAACCCAAAACCCAAACGGAGGAGAAGATGTGTCTGCTGCGAGYGCTCACTCAAAGTGACAGAGGGAGMAGCATCAGCGCTCCTGTTACGCCTCTACACAAAACCAAAACCACTTCTTTGTCCAATCCGCCAGGGTTTGCACGAAACACCGCATCGTCGTCTTTCAGACGAACCAACGCTTCTTTATCCAACACTGGTTCCCCTAAAACCTCCTACAAGACTTCCTCCTCGGTTTCCCAAACAGGGTCACTGAGAGTTGTCCCCTCCTCTAGGTCGACGTCCCCGCTGAGGACATCTGAAAACATCAGATCTACTCGAGCTCTACTCCCCAAAGACCACCGAGACAATGGCACCGTCTCTGACAAGTCCACCCATTTCAGGGACTCGAGCAGGAGCAGCTGGGCCAACTGGAGATAACAGGAGACCTTTCAAAGAACTGATTGTGCCATGTTGGATGTTACTACGTACACTGCCTTCATCCAAAAATGAAAGGATTTTTGACGTGGGTCATCCCTCAGCTGGACCCTGCTACCTTCAGATTGGGCCTCTGATTGCCCACCCTGTTTCTACAAGACTGAAACACCCTATYGATTACTGAGATTCAAACTGACAATCCTGTAAACTAAATGTATAACTGACACTAACAACTTTCAGGTCAGCCATGTTGGACTTTGAGGTCAGTGCTGGTCAAAAAACATAGACCGTCCAGTTGATTCATTGATTAAACCCCTCTAAGCCTGTTAATCAACCATTGACTTAAATCAGGTGTGTTGGACCAGATTATGGTCAGGGACCAGGATTAGACAGCCCCAATAATAGTCTGAAATTGACTTTTGCTCTAAACTGGTTCTGTAATCCAAACTAAATTGGTTTTGTAACTAAATAAAAAGCTGCCCCACAAGTCTCATCATGAACTCATTTCTGTTTCTTTGGTGCCATCTAGTGGTAAAGAGCCTCATTTTTGACCCAAGTTTGTAAAAACATTTAATCTAATCAGTTTAATGAATTAATCTAACAGATTAAATATAAGTGGAGACATAACAAAATGAAATACTTCAGTTTTGATCGTTCCCTAAAAAATAGATATTTTAAATATTAAAATGAGACCTTTAGTTTGAAACATCTGAGTCAAGATTAAGCATATTTGTATGTTTACATACATTTAGACAGCTTGGTGGTCTCATGAATCCTTTAGGCTGCAAGTTTGAGCTCAGGTTGTGTTAAGATCTGCTCACTAATGAAGTTGTAGCTCTCTGAGTTTCTGGACTCAACTTGAAGCTTAGAACCCAATTAAACCTATTTTATATTTATGATAATTTGTTAATTTAATTTAAAAACCTACTTAAAATCAGATTTAGACACTTTAATGTTCTCAGATGGGTAAATAAAGCGCACCGCTGTTTGGAAAACCTTCAAACTTTAATACAAGCKTCAGCTTTAGTTACAGTCATGAAAAATCAATTTCAAATTTATTTTTACCCAATTCAGAAAAAAAGTACAAAAATCAAAAATCAAAAAATGAAAAGTTGCAGTATAATAAATCTTATGTCTGCCCCTTTTATTCCCAGAAATATTCAAAAAACAGTCTTGATGCTTGTAAATTCTAACATTTTTGAAACAAGACTACTTTAAAACCAAACAGTACTGTTTCTGCTCAGTTTTTTTAAATTATCAGATTCAATCAGGAACCAATCGAACCCATTCCTGAAACATTTGGCGTTAAGCAAAATTAAAACAAATTATTCATTAAACTGTGGAATAAAAAACAGATTTCCTTTGTTTTGTATCAAACAGCTCAGGGTAACTCTAAGTTTCAAATTTCATTTAATTTTTAGTTTGACCAACTCGGCAGCGTTTCCTTTGGTGTTGTGGAAGCGGACCCCGGCGTGGAGCGGCTGAGTGAAGGTGGTCYGGACTCTGTGGAGGAGGGTCATGGTGTCAGAGACGCTGTAGAAGGACAGAACCCCTGCCCTGTGGTCCAGGTACACTCCCACTGTGGAGGTCCGAGGACTTGAGATAATCACCTCCTTGTCCTTGTGGTCGAACTTGTAGCCCCTCATGGTGGAACTTAAAGCCCAGGAGTCGTTGCTGAACCCGAAGGCGCATTCAACCGCTTTCCCTCGTCTTCTGATGCTCCGGTACGCTGCTGCGACACAGACCCCGCTGCCGGTCCACTCCACTTCCCAGTAGGACCGTCCGGTCAGACCCTGCTGACTCAGGACCTGGTGGTAGTGGGAGAACTGGTACGGGTGGTTGCTGAAAGACTGCTGCTGCTTGGTTAGCGTCGCACTTCGGTTCTCCTCGGAAAGCTCCAGCTCCTCGTTCGCCATGTTCGGGTCAAAGGTGAGTTCCCGTGAGAAGGTTAGGAAGTCGGCTCTGGTGTCAGGTTCACTTCCTGGTAGCAGAGCGWCCACGTCAGAGATGAGGACAGGGATGGTGGCCCACTCGTCCCTCAGGACGTCCTGTATCTTGACTCTGAGCTGGTCCACAGCTGCCGTCACGTCCTCAAAGTAGCTGAGAGGACGAGTCTTGATGCTGGATGAGTGTGGAGACCCACTGAGTGCTGACACTGAGGGGTAGTTGTGGAGAAACTGGTTGTGATCCTCTGTGTGTGAGAGCTGCTCCAGCTGGCCGTCTTTCCTCTTCAGCTCAGTCATCTCCTGCTCCAGCTGCTCCTGAAGCTTTAGGACTCGATTTACTTCGTATTTCTTCTGAGCTCTGACTCGATGTTTGGCCTCCGACCTCTTTTTCTTCATGAACTTGATCAGCTCAGTGAAGATCTTCTCGTTTTCTTTCAGTTTTATCAGCAGAGACATTGATGGCCTCCACCTCCTGTTGGAGCAGCTTCACATCTTTCTCTCGCTCCTGGATTCTCTGCTGGATTTGTTGTCGGCTCTCCTCCAGCTCTTACTGCTTCTCAGCTCTTGCAGCTGTAACCGGCACCGTCTCGTGACCTTTATGTTCATCCATGGTRCAGAGATAACAGATACACTGCTGATCAGTACGACAGAAGAYCTTCATCACCTCATCGTGACGAGGACAGATGTTCTCYTGGAGCTTCTTGGAGGGCTCCACCAGCTGGTGTTTCTGTAATGGTGGAGCTTCATGGTGAGGTTGGAGGTGTTTTTCACAATAAGAGGCCAAACAGTTCAGACAGGACTTGACAGCTTTCAGTTTCCTGTCAGAGCAGACGTCACAGGACACATCTTCAGCTCCAGCATAGAGGTCAGTTTGACACAGAGAACAACACATATTTTTCCAACAATTTGGTGACCCCGACGTGATGGATGATCTTGAATAAGCAGAGAACATTGGATTTTATTTTTGGCTGTTGAAGAGCCTGAGAAGATTTTTGAAACATCATCTGCTGAGAGTGAGTACAGAAAAGCTTCAAGATGCCTCCTTACTTTTCTAAAGAGGGTTCTGCCAACTTCTCCAAAAGGTGACAGTGTTGGAGGTCAAGATTCATCGTTTGGAAGAAATGAATGCTTTGGAGAACTCAACATGTGTTAAAATGGGTGAGAAGGCTGAGAGGGGAGATCATCATGGAGAGGAGATGGAAACTGCTTCTGAGSGTGAAGCTGTATGGAACTCTGTTGGTGCCAGACCAAAAAATCTCTCAGGAAGGATTCAGCTCACATTGAATGGCCAGAATTACAGAGAAATGTTTTCTCTCCACCTGCAAGAAGAAAGTGACAGGCTGTAATCAAAACAACTGATAACAGCCAGAGAAATGAAGCAGTGTTTCTTCAAAACATATTCACACCACTGGAAGAAGCTGGAGAGTCTGAACAAAGTTCATCTTCTGACCTCAGAGAGGGACCTGAGACCAGATCCAGCCCAAAGCCAAAGTCAAAGCAAGTCCAAAGAGAGACTTTCAAGAATCAAGAAATGCTGATCATCACAGATAAAATGGTGARTGWGATCAGAGACTTCTGGAACAAGAAAAAAGTCAAAGTTCTGAGTTTTGCTGATAAAGTGTCTGACCTCACAGAGAAGATTCCGGAAATCTCAGCAGAGTATCCATCTCTGAAGAAGCTCATCATTCATTCAGGAAGTGATGAAGTTATGAATCGACAGTCAGAAATCCTGAAGAAGGATTTTATTCAGCTGCTGAATGCAGTTAAAAATCTCAACATGGATGTGTTCCTCAGTGGGCCCATTCCTACAGCCAGAGGAGGAGCTGAGAGGTTCAGCAGACTGTTGGCTCTTAATGGGTTTTTGGAAAAGTCCTGTGTTGAACACTCTGTGAAATATGTGGACAACTTTGATCTCTTCTGGGAGAGAAAACATCTCTTCAAGTCTGATGGAATGAMTTTGAACCGACATGGATCARASCTGTTAGCTTCAAACATGAAGTATATCCTGAACCAAGTTCTGGCTGGAACTAAACAACAGGAGAGTGATCAGGAGATGTCTGAGGCTGAAGAACAACAGGAGCAAACTGAGACACCAATGGAAAACAATGCGCAAGTGGCTGAACCAGAACCAGAAGCACAGAGAGGGGAGCTACTTCAAGCTGCTGAACTGGAAGAACATCTGGACTCATCATCATCACAAACAGAGGAACCAGAAAATGGATTTCCCCAACCTACAACTGAAGAAAAACTGACCACTTCTTCTCCACCTGAGGAACCCAAACCATCAACTGAGAATGAGAATGTAAAACCTACATCCAAAAAAAAGTATACAGGATCGGAGACCGCTTTGAAGACCCTGTGAAACGAGAACAGGAGCCTTCAGATTATAACACAAAGCTACAGGACCTTTGGATGAGGAATAAAAATAAATGGACAGAGAAGAAGAAACAAGAGTGGAAAGAAAGCATTATGAGTCTTATCCCTGATGATGAATATTTTTATGTCTGGGAGGATTAAAATTTGAATTTCTGGGGTTGGGAAATGTTTAGAAATATCCTTATGTAACAACAGATGTTAAAACTTCTCTTTATAAAGTTTTCGTAAAATTTTTTGTAGTATTGACATATTTTGTATGTCGAGAGGGATTGAAGACATTTTGTAAC